TGAAGATAAAATAGCGCCTGATATGTGTATGTACTAAAGAGGACTTTAATTATTTAGTGAAATAAATAAGGACAAAATACAAAATTTGATATTGTAGTTTAAAAATATGTTTTTATTTGATTAAAACACTCGAGAGCTAACTGCCTACAAGGAAGGATGGCTTCCTGGAGAACTTTCTAAGGGAAACTGGCTCATATACACATTACACATGAGGAAAAACACGAAAACGCCTATGCAACTACCCCAAATCATGTTTAGAATAAAAATTAATTTGTTATTTATTATCATTTGCGATTATTAGTGGTAAATATGTATTGAAATCCATTTAGAGCAAGATCTGCAAAGAAATGAATGCGGAAGAATCTAAATTCTCAGAAGAGATATGCAATTATCTGATTATAATCAGTAGAATTTGCTTTGAGTTAATCCATATTATGTAACGTTATCAAGTGGCTAAAAGTATAAAACACTGGTAATTAATTCTCCTTTCCTTGATTTGTAGTAGTTGAATGAAATGATCATAAGATAATTTCATGACAAAGAAGCACTTAAAAGTCTATCATGCCTGAAATCTGCTTGAATGTTGAGTCATAAGGGTACAAGATCTCAAAATATATGTTAGAATGTGTCTGCGGTCAAAAAAGGGTTGGAGTAACTCCTATACATTTTGTGTTCATTAAATAATCTTGTACAAATGATTAGGTAAAGTTTTTTAAGTCTTTTGCCATTAGTTGATCCATTAGCATGCTAATATAGTCTAACTTCATGCTTATTTTTACCCTATGTATCAATGATTTCTTATTATATACAGATAATATTAAGTTTTGGTCATTATTCATACTGTCAATAAATCAATATGAAGAATACATTTGTGATTTAAATTGAAAACGATTAGTTCAGTGTTTACAGATTCATGTGATGTAATGAAAGTTTATAATAAAATTAAGAATATTCTATGGTTTATTTTCTTAACCCGCGAGCACACGCAATGGGTATGTCATACCCATGGGCATTTTTCTTTTTGTATATTTATCACTTATTCTTTCATAAAAGGACGAAACTTGGTGTAGCTGAGTTCAAGGCCACATACTTAAATGCGGGAAATTCCTAAGGTGACAGGTGCAACGGTTTTTTAGGAACAGCATTGTTTGGGCATCTCATACCCGCGCGTGTACTCATGTTTCTCAGTGAGTCACTTCGCACTTCTCGTTTTCAAGCTTTTTTTTTTTTTTAAGTATAGGTTTTTCTTGAGTTGTAAGCATGGCGCCGTATATTCCTTACGATGAAGAGATGAAAAGATTGAGAAATATTCTTAAAAACAGTTTCTTCTGATGAGGATTCATTTAGTGAAGACGATGAAGATGTTGATGACGAAGAATATAATAGTCATCATGATTCATCCATAGAGAGTAGTGATTCAGATACAGAAACAGAAAAGGAAATTTTGCAATGTAGCAATGAGTTTTATGTTGGAAAAAATGGAGTAAAATGGAACAAAAATAAATTCCGGACTAATGTTAGAATTGGAGCCAAAAATATTATAACTAAACTCCCTAGAAATACGAAGTATTCTAAAGACGTCTCAACACCTTTAGATTCCTGGTCACTGCTTATCGATGAAGATATGTTAAAACATGTAGTCGACAATACAAATATTTATATTGATTGTACGTGGAAATTTCACTCATGAACGGGATGCGAAAGCAACAAATGAGTTGGAAATCAAAGCTTTAATTGGATTGCTGTATTTATGTGGAGTTTATAAATCATCCCATGTGAACGTAAGAGATTTGTGGGCAACAGGCAGAACGGGAATGGACATAGTTCGGGAATAAATGTCAATGAACCGATTCCTCTTTCTTTTACGATGCCTCCGTTTTGATGACATTAGAGATCGTCCCAGTAGAAGAGACGTTGATAAATTAGCTTCGATCAGAGAATTTTTTGGAAATTTTGTCACAAATTGCCAAAAGGCTTATACTTTAGGAGAGTATGTGATCATTGATGAGAAGTTGGAATCATTCAGAGGTCGTTGTTCCTTCAAACAAAATATGCCCAACAAGCCAGCAAAGTATGGCATAAAAATATTTGCTCTTGTAGACGCAAGGGTATTTTATACCTGGAGTATGGAAATTTATGCTGGGTAAACAACCAGATGGGCCATTTCAAGTTGAAAATTTGGTGCAAGCGAAGTTGTCAAACGTTTAATAAGGCCCTTATACAACTCTGGTCGAAATTTAACAGTTGATAATTGGTATATGGGATTTGAATTATCTCAAGATCTCCTAAAGAAGAAAATTACGATAGTAGGTACAATGCGTAAAAATGAGAGAGAAATCCCACCTGAGTTTCTGGCAGAGAAAAGAGAAGTATATTCTTCAATTTTCGGTTTTCAGAAAGAAGCAACACTTGTATCTTATGTGCCGAAAAAAAATAAGAGTGTGATCCTGTTATCCACAATGCATTCCGGCGATCAAATCGATGAATCTACTGGGGAATCTAAAAAGCCTGAAATCATTACATTATATAACATGACAAAAGGAGCAGTCGATGTTGTAGATGAGATGGCAGCTGCGTATTCTACAGCAAGAGTAGCACGTCGATGGCCTATGGTGATTTTCTTTTCAGTGTTAAACGTGGCTGCCATTAATGCAAGAATAATTCTACTATCAAAGAAGGAACCACCAACGGAATACCATACCAGGCGTACTTTTCTCAAAGCCTTAGGGATGCAGTTAATAGAAAGTGTTCAAAATGAACGACGACGAGCATCTGTAGTTCCTGATTCTAGACAAACACTGACCACCGATGAACATGTTAACAATGAACCACCCCCCAAAAAACCTAAAATTACAAGAGGTGTACAGAGTGCCCCAAGAAAAAAAGATAGAAAGACTAGATACATTTGTGAAAATTGTAGCAAAAGTACGAGTATATGTATGGAACATATGACCTCATTTTGTAAACAATGTTCAAAATATTGTACGTAAATAATTTTACCTCTCCTTATTCTTTCATATTTTGTCTAAAATGAAGTATTAACTTGGTTTTACATTTTAATTTCTTTTAAAAATCGATTAATTTTATTCGGCAAATTTTTAATTACAAACGTTTTATTCGGGTATGACATACCCGGCGCGTGTTCTAGTGTTCGTCGGATCGGTGCGTGTGCTCGCAGGTTAAATGAAACTTTGTTTTTCCTCTGGAAAAAAATCCAAATAGCTTTATGTAAGAATCATTAAAGAGATCTTCATCAATAACAATGTGTTAATTAATGAAAACTATATACTTGTGTCTATATCAATAATAATAAGGCCCTTATACAACTTTACAAACTCTTTCCTTTGAAATCTGTGTATAAGCCTTAGTAATCTCAAGGTGTGAGATTTATAATGTTGTAATATTCTGAAAAGTCGCTTGACTTTAATATGTATGCAAGTTTCATGAAAAATTAAAAGCTGTATAATTTGCATCCATACATAAAAGCAAGAGCTATGTATACATAAATTCTACAGTTTTACTGTGTGGAGCAAATCAACAAAAGCATTATCAAAGCATCACTATCAACAGTTTCATCACAAAACAACTACATTGCAGAGCATGTTTCCAAAGTATATCAATTTTTTAAAGTACTGATTCTACTGAAAATGTATTGTTTACAAGATAAATAAATAGCTCTTGCATGCTTCGCCACTTTATAAAATTTTTAAAGATTTTATTTTTATTTCTGTTATTGGTTGTCATATATCTGCATACTTTTGCAGCCCAATGATTTATTTACTGTATGAAATTTATTAATCAATTCTCTTGGAATAATTTAAGTTTTCACTATTCATAAATTGTTATTGTAATCACTAGCGATTCAAAAATGCTCGATAACAAAATACAGTAGCATTTTCAAAAACACTAAAGATTTACACTTATATGAATTTAAGAATTTTAAAGCACTTATTATATTTTTGTGGCATTTTTAATCATTTATTTAAAGAAATACCAGCATGCTCTGATTTGTCAGCAGATACTGAATTATGATTTTCCTTTGTAATAATCAAGTGCGATTGTTATTCCTATTATGTTCTCTATCTGTATATGATGTTACTATCTATATTTGACTGAATCTGTAACTGCATATTTCATGCTGAAACTTTTAGTTCTTTTGCACATATTGTTGTGATACGTCCTAATAAACACATTATATGTCGATGTTTTGTAAAATGATGTTGCTAACTGTACTGTATGTGTACCATCAACTGGAGAACTTTACACTAATAATTTAGTAGTGAAATACTGCGACAGAATATGCAGATCAAAAACTGATTAATAAATTACTTGTGTAACTAGCAAGGATGAAGTAGTGACAAGATTAAGAGCATTTTAAATTTATATACTGTTTTTAATTCATCATATTTTAATTTATAAACTATTTAGAGATTATTTTATATACAATATATTTACATGATGAGATATCAATATATATGATCAAAAGAATCATGAATTATAAGAGTTTCATTATTTCCAATGGCATCTATAGCAGCTTTCTTGTATGAAGTTGTTGCAATATTTTCAGTACTGCATGGACTTTTTCTTTTCTTTCTCGTAAAAAAGAAATTCTTTTGTTTCTCTGCTTTTTTATTTGTAGGTTCATAGTTCACCATTTTCAATTTCGGCTTTTCGTTCTTTAATTTTGTAATCACTTTATTCAGTGTGTTTTCAATATCTCCCAAAGTTATATTATTTACTGTTGTTGATGTTACAAGTTTTGATATGATACTCAGTTGATTTATAATATGGTGCTTGGTTCCTGATTTTTTTAATTTTTGTGCTGATAGATCAAGAAAGGATTTTACATCATTTGATTCTTTAGTTTTAGCTGACTGTTCTCTATTAAGGTAATCTTGTCTTTAAAATTATTGCATGTATATGTTTACAGACACTTCCTTTAATCGTGGCATCTGTGCATGTGCATACAAATGCATCGTTACAAATTTTGCACCATTTACAAACAATGTTACAATTAATGCATTGTGTATGTATTTGAGTAACAGTATATTCAAGAGTAGGGTCACTTTCTGAAATCACATGCCAAGAAAACTCATTGATTTCTGTGATATTATTAGCTGGAAAATTTATTGCTCTGTTGTGTCGTAAATTTGTTTGGTTGATCTTTGATGTGTTTGGCCCTTTTGTTGTTTTGATAAATCTCTGGAACCATTTATCTTGCACCATATTAATAAGCTTCGCAATGCACCTATCAACCCTCTTGTTTTTCAATCCATCAAGATAAGAATATTTTAAAACTCGATGCAGTGCTTCAAGATGATTGTTAGTTGTGATGTTACATCTTTTTCTATAACATTTAGCCCACAACTCGCATCTGTTTGCATAATTTGAAGCAAAATAATTAGCAAACTTGTCTGTATCTCTATCAGCAAAGAGTTTGCTGAGGAAATCAGATATCAGTGCTTCAAATTCTTTTATATCATGACATTCAGATACTACATTTAAAAATTTCAAAACTTCCTTTCGCTTTGAGGGGATAATTGAATTTGCTGCTTGCAGCCATGCCTTTTTAACGTGCCAGGTGCATAGAATCCTAAATTTGGCATCACACATTACTGATGTCCATGCAGTATAATATACTGGTGCATCATCACTCATAAAGCAGTTTACAGACAGCAGTCCAACTTTGTCCCTAATACACTGAAAAAATTTTTGCATTGAACCTAAATTTACTCTATTGCTTAGGCAAAAAGCAGCAGGAAATCCTGAATTAAACTCGTCTATGACTAAAACTGTCGATAATTGAAAATCGTAAGCATTAGTCCCATGTGTGCTATCGATGCATATGCTATCGGATCCAAACTTTAAAAGCATATGCTTTTGAACATTTGTCATTATGATGATGCAGAAGTCACTAATTTCCAAGTGCTGATCTGCTGCTTCTCCTTGGAATTTTACAAAAAGAACTGAATTATCATCTAAACATTTCATTTTTTCTATCCAGATCCTTAAACTGACAGCATCAGTTGGATGATATTGTTCATCATTACCAATACAGTAAGAATTAGAAATGTTATGTATGTCTTTTTTTGTCAATAAATGCTCCCTGTAAATGTCTTCTTTAATACTATTCCTTGTGGAATCTAATATTTTCTGTGGTGGAATGCCTTCATTTAACTTACCTGAAAATATTGCATTTATATGATAATGTTGTATAATAATGTCTGTTTTATATTGAATTTCACAATCAAGTTCATAAAGAAACTTACCTGCAATCACTTCTCGCAAATCTTTTGTTAACGGCAAATGTTCTAGATCTACTGTGTGTCCCACGTGTGTTTGGAAATATAAAATCTTAATAATGCCATTACTGGTAACTTCAATAGTAGATGGACAGTGCCCCTCTATTTTGCAGGTACCTTGTGATTTTATAGCTCTTACACCTTTACTTTTAGAATTATAAAATCCAGATCAATTACAAAGGAAGTAACTCTTTTTCCCACCTTCTTTAAGAGTTATTGTACTTCTCAAAAAGTAAGAAATTTTTTCCCTTCGTTCTTCCTCACTTTTCCATTGTAAGAAATCTAAATTTGAAGGGTAAACATTAGCCTACATACAATATAAAAGCCCATTATAATTGTGAACTAGTTAATCTTTAAAACAAAATTACTAATTTAAAACTAACCAAAATCTTATTTTGGCACTGATTGTAAATAGATACTGGTCACTTTAGCAGAATTTTTTTTCTCTTCAAGAAGAGGGACCTGTGTCTAATTGCTCTCAAAACTGATAGTTTTATTTAAAATCTACACTGAAATAAAGTTGCCTAATTTTAAGTCAGGGGCGTAGCTAGAGGAGGGCATCTGTCCCCGGGCGCAGATTCGAAGGGGCACCAAACTGATGTTACGACATTTTAGAATTAAATGTTTTCCATCCTTGGCAAGCAGTAGAGGGTGCGAAACCTTCAGTTGTCCCTGGGCGCTGAAAACCCTAGCTACGACTCTATTTTAAGTTGTACATTGGCATATTTTTCTTCCTATTTGACAGTTACTAGTACTCATGTTCCAGCTAAACTAGACTTAAAACATATTCCCCAAAGTTGTATAATAATGCAAGAAATTTATTCTTAAGAGACAAATTGTCATCAGACATTTTCCATAGCATGAGTGTCATCTGGCCTATGTCTAAAGTAAAAAAACATTGTAGCCTGTTTCTTGATAACTGATACAATGTGTATAGGTTATTAAAATTTTAAGACATTGAATAAATTTCTTTAAGTAGTTTTAAAATAACATATAATAAATTTTAAGCCTCATTTACATATAATAAAATAAGTGTCTATCATTATGATACTAAACTTACGATTGAAGGTTGCCACTTTAATAAAGATTTTAACAATTTTTTTATTAGGTCCACATTATTTTTGATATCTTCATCATACATATGCATTAAGAGATCCGTTTGTGTAATAACAGGATAGTCTTTTTTTTTTAATGAAGCACTGAATTACATGTATAAATAATTATGTAGCAGTACATCTCTATATATGTTTTTATTATTTAGAAAATGTTTACTTCATATTTCAAATAGTTGAGGAAGAGAATATTACTTAATCTTAATATTATTAATAATAATTATTATTTGAAATATTTTTACTGAAGAATAATGGGGGTTTATCAGGCTAACAGAAAAAAGCAAGATGCTAAGGAAATTATTCTGTTATCAATTATACTCACAAAAATAGATGTATTTTATTCCCCAACTTGATGAATGAATTTGCAAAAATAGTAATTTGTACTCAGTTTGGGGTAATTCAAATTAAAAACGTTTATCGCAGAAAATGCAAATTTCTAATATCTTACCTTCATATGTATTAAATGTCATTTCAACGGAGTTAAGAGTGTATCCATGTTGATCTCTTGCGTGATTTCTTAACTCTTCAAACGTTCTACATGAAAAATTGCAGGCATTAATAGGACATTTCAAATTTCCTTCAGCCACAACAGGTACTTTATGTACTTCCCGAATGTGTTCATATAAAACCTTTTTCTTTTTGTACTTTTTGCAGCAGTACATACATTCAAATACTGCTATCTTTTCATATTCCATTGTTATAACAAAAAGTTATGTACTACAATAGAAAATAAAAAACTTATTTTGTCATCAGAAATATTAAAAAATGAATAAAAACTGTAGCATATATTAAAATATTTAATGTTTGACACAAAAAAAAATGGTAGCATATGATATTAAAATATTTAATGTTTGACACAAAAAAATGGTAGCATATGATATTAAAATATTTAATGTTTGACACAAAAAATGGTATAAAATATTTAATGTTTGACTGAAACTAACACGGTTTGCTATTCTGAAACATTTTTCATTTTCCTTTGTTCAACAAAGGAAATTTCCGCTAAATTTATCTGTTCTCAAAAGGCAATATATGAAAAATAAATAGATTACAAAAAGTTTGTCTCAAAAATAAATACTTTACAATAATTTGTAATCACGTGTTTAATTACAAGCAAACAATATCTAAATTACCAATTAAAATATTTTATCAAAAAATTCTTTTAGCTCGCCAAAAAATATCACTGCAGAGCTCAGAAAACAAGCAACCGAAAATGGCAGGTAATCCTGTGGGGTAAATCTAAAACACCCCGCTTTTGACGTCACATGTGACGTGTACCGTTGACCAATCAAATTTTCCTGCCGAGTTGAAATTTAGTCGCTCCCTGTCGTGATTCAGTTAGCAAAATCGAAGAAAACTCGAGATTTATCTAAATTCCATTTCATAACGAAATCGAAGATTTTCAGATCACTTTTCGTTTCCAAAGACCTTTTATAAAAAAAATAAAGTTTTTCGCTTTCCGATTTTAATGAATATTAGCAACGATTTCATTTTTATATAAGTGGTCGAAATGTTAACATCCAAGCAATAGTTCGTACAATCATAGAATATTTCGAAACTCTGGAGGCAAGTTTAGCTAGAATAGTTTCAACCGTTGAATTCTTCGCCGAAATGACAGTTCGACGTCGTTCATTATCGATTTTTTTCTCGTCTTTCAGCACCATTTTGTTCCTTACCAGCTTTCTCTGCATTTTTGTACTGTTCTCTCTGCCATATTTTCTTCACTTTTTTATTTGTGATTGCGAAACCAACTGCACTTCTCTCTATCCTTAGGAAATGATTCTTTACCAGCATGTCTCATTGCCTATTTAAAAGGTAGTTTGTGAGTTCCATCTCCAGATTCCTCAGATCTATTTTTAAGTCATTAAGATCATTTTCTACACTCATGTTTATTTAAACCTTGTTTGTCTGATTACTTGCAAAAATTGGAAACCCAATCAGTTACAACCGGCAGCAGAAGACGAAACTCACAAAACCACGATGTGGATATGATACTAACAGTTACAAGAAAAGAACCACATTATTATGAGTAATTTCTAACTATCATTTAATGCTAGATAAATTAATTTAAAAGCACTTTAGTAATCGAGATTTGATGTAGTTTAGATAAAAGCAGGATATTTATCTGAATGTCCTATCCCAGGCTTTTCTTGGCTACAGAAGTTTACTTTTTTTTTTTTTTTTTTTTGAGACAGGGTAGCCTTTAGTTTGATGCCCAGCAAAAATGCAAAGAATTTACTGAACGACACATTTAAAAATTTGGGAGGTCTGAACTGCCTCCGTTGTTCGGGATCGCAGCGCTTTCAGATCACAGCTGGAACCATAGATATATAATACTATCTATGGTTTGAACATGTTGTGCGAAACTGCACAATAATCGCGGATTACACTTGGAACTTAAAAACATATTTAAATTCACAAATGCGCAAGAGAATGTTGCATCATTTATTTATTTTCTAGTGATACAAAATTCTATTTGCGCTAAGTTTAATCTCACGAATGTTTGAAATGAAGTTTTTGTTGTATCATGTTTTGTCAGTATTCATATTATCAACCTGATTAATTTCCCGATCGAACCATTGCTCATTATCAAGGATCAGTAAACATAATTGTATGTTTTTATAACCTATCTATACGTCATTGGATTCTAAAGGAATTGAACAAACCTAGGTTTACTAATATATTCCTGTGGAATAAAATGAGCAATAAGCTTAATGCTTATTATTTTGATTTCATGAAATGCATTGATATAATTTGATTTTTAATTCAAGGTATGTAACGTCAGTTATCTGCAGAGAAAATTAAGATTCTTTAGTGCTATTTTTTTTTTTTTTTTTAAATTTTTGTAAGATTGTTATCTTTAGCAATCTTGCTTTTAAGCAAGAAGAAAGGAGATGAGGACTTTGGCGAACGCCGTTTCTGCTGTCCGTTAGGAGGATTGTGATAATTCCACAGAAATACTAATTTAAGACATCAAGAACATGAGCATTTTCTTTAAAATCAAGCACAAATGAATTTTTTTTTGAATAATTTCTCGTCACATTTCGAGTAGCTTCTTAATTTTAATAAATCTTATTAGCTTTGGACATAAAAATACCTGAATTAAAATGCAGTTTTAAGATTTTTAGTTATTCGAGTCAAAATGAGGTATTAAGTATATGGATTCGAAATAACGTACAAAAATAACATGCATGGTCCTTTCCCTGTTCCGCTCAAAATTTTTTGTAGATATTCACTGAAGTTATACTTTCACTGAAGCAATTTCATTTGTGCGTCGGGTAGGATAATTCTGGAAATTTTAAGAGATTTCTGAAAACTAGAAGATCGGTTTTGAAACTTTCGGAAAAATATTTAAGAGAAAGAATTTTTAAAATTTGAAGGAAAGAGAATTTTTTTAACGATTGTATTAGGGAAATAAAAAAGAGTAATAAAAATTCAAATTATATATTTCAAATATTAATAAACATGCTGTCAGCCTGATACAATATTTATTATTTTAATAAAAATATGAGGAAATGTGGCATCAGTTACTCAAATGCGTTTATAAACAAACATTTGACGGATTCGGTCATAATATGTACTGAGATATTTATGTGGTTATAAATTGAATAAGTAAAACAAATAAGAGTAATGCTCAGATTTATAATTTTAAAATAACTTTAAATACTTAATCCATGAATTCATCTAGCGTAGCCAGAAAAAACAGGAGAATGCGACAAATGCAACTCCCTTCTTTATCAAACATACGGACATCAGGTACACCTTTGCCTTTATACACTGTAGATTCGAAAGTGAATTTTTCGGAAGGTTGCGAATCTTCAGATATCTCACTTAATAAAAATGAAAGTCATTTGAACAGTGATTCTGATAGTATAAAACCAAAGGAATTATTTCATGATGAGGGAAACGGTACATATGCTACAACTGGCTGCAGCTTTATTAATTGTGATGTATCTAGTCGTCCGATCGGAAAAGTTTTTGTGGAAGATGAAAGTAAGTAGTAAAAATAATCATTTCTGCTTTTGATCTTTTGTTCTGCGAAATAACCAAAGATTTCTATGATGAATATATATATATGTGTGTAGACCTCGAAAATGATGAATAATAATATTTTTTTATAGAACATTTTGATAAATTAGTGATTTGGCAGTAAGTGATATTACTGTAGCTTTAATATCTGTAGATTGATATTATGAAGCATGTAGCATATGCTACTCTTGGATGCCAAATCTGTGAATGCTGCTCTTGGAAATCAAATTTTTTCTTCCTTTTCGAAAAAAATCTTTAAAAAAAAATGCTAATGGTCTGGAGGTTTGTATATTATATGAAGCTGGGGAACAGCTTTAGTATTGGTCCTTCTGGCGATTTTTTTATTTGGCGACAAACTTCGGTCGCCAAGGTAGACCCGATTTTGAAGATCGGAAAAAAATGGCGGATTGTCAACAAAACCCGATCTAGACTAAATAACAATCCTAAAAAATAAGCTCTTAATCAGAATAAAACAATCTTTCTCTAATTTTCAATATTTCTAGTACTGCAATGATAAATTCTTGAAAAACTACTGTAAATGAATTTATGACAATTATTATGTTATGAGTAATGAAATTTACGAAATGTTAATATTTTTAATTACAAAAATATAATGTATTAAACATTAATATTTTAAGTAGTTAGTTCATATTTATATTTTATTATATTAGTACTTAGCTAATATTTTAAATTTACAAAAGGTAATTTTATGTTTATGAATAATGAAATTTACAAAAGGTTAATAAATGCATTTCAAACTAATATATGTTACTTTAGTTTCTTAGATTCTGTTATTAAAAGAAAATAAAAAAATATTTCAAAGTGAAGAAAATCAAATTCAATTATAATGGGCAAGTTTTGTACCAGTGTTAGAAATATTTTTTATGATTAAATATTGTAAATGGTAAAAATATTAAGAAGTGTGTATTTTTTAATCCCTCAATTTATTACAAGTAATTTATGATTATAATTTAAAAGCTAAAATTAAATTATCATAATGAGTAAATTTTGTACCAATGGTAATAATACAACAATCATTGTAAATGATGATTTCTGTGAAAAATTCGAACAGTCATTGGAATCCACTAGTGGTGCAGTGATAGCCACTGAACAGTGGTAGTTCAGGCTGGCTATATGGGAGTTTTAGTAGTTTTCCGTAGATGTAATGTGAATCTGAGCCAGTTTCTCTTAAAAAGTACTTTATGAAGGCATCCTTCTTCTGCTAGCCAGGATATGTATTTATTTTCTATTCATAATTCTCTCTTATTTCTTATTCTTAATTCTAAATCTTACTTCTGAAGAGAAGAAGTATTGCATCTATAGGTCGAAAATATGGTCAATATGTTTGCAAAATCCTGTCAGTTTTGGAAAGCATTTAAATAAAACTAAATAATTTGTATGTGATGCCAAACAAAAATGCATTACACTATTTCATGTACTGAATAATTAATCAGGGAACAAAGTATATTGTAACGTTCCTTTATTTGTAACCAGAGTTATTTTATGCTTGGGATCTTTACTGTCAATTTCCTCCATCCGTTTTCTCACAGAATCCAAATGAAGTTTTTATTTTGTAAAACAAACCGTGTTTTGCCTTTTGAGGCCACATTAATAGGTTGCTAGATAAGAAAAGATTTGTAGTCTTCAGCCTTGCATTATAATTGCTGATAGTTGAATTCCAGGCCAGTTAAGTTTTTAACCAACTTTGCATTAAATTGATTTGTGCAGCCTTTGGGCTACAAATTTATTTGAACTTAATTGTTATCATAAGTTATCTTGCCACAAGTGGTTGACTGAGTCGTAAGCACAAAGTGTGCCTTTTGTTCTGTACATCTAAACTTTATAATAGAATAAAAGTATATCTTAACTTAATAAGAATATATCTAAACTTTATGATAATAACATTTAAAGACATTGAAATCAGTATCTAAGTGCTTGCCATGTAGTCAACATTTTTATATATAAATTGTACTCTTACTTTTATTATAGAGTTTTTATTACAAAAAATTCAGATTTCTATTAGATAAAATGTTTAAGTAATGTAGAAAAATTTGCATAAAATTTAAAATAAAAAGTCGACTGTTGTGTCAACATACTATTAAAAAAGTAATAATACTCAGTGAAGGTTATTCATATACAGCTGTTAGGTTGTAAGATTTACAAAATTTGAGAACTCTAAATTATAAGCAATATATTCCATAATCTAAGCAACATTATATTTTTTATAGTCAGGCAAATTATGAAAATGTTATAAAAGCAATAATGAAACCTGATTTTGGTCCTGATTTGAACCTATGAATTCATGCAATTACACATCCCTATAGTTCTAATATGAGGTAAATAAGTATTTTTAGACCATGGTAATTTTGATCTCCTTAGCAAAGGAAACACCAAGAGCTTACTTCATGCTACTGAAAATGTGTTTTTCCCCCCTTGGGGGGGGAGTTTATAATAATATGCAGAGTTGACATATGAAAAAAATGTCAAGACTCATGTGATGTAATATTAAAAGCACCAGTTTTAACTATCAAAAATTCGGCTTTTTAAAAAATATTTTAAATGTTGTGCTTTCCTAACACAAAAGTAACTAAGAAAAACACACAATTTATCCCTCCTGCCATCAAAGCTTTGATACCTATCAAATTCGTTAAAGTTACGTGGACAGAAATGGCGGCATGTCTGAAGCTCATTATTTAGGGTTACCAAGGTTATCATAATTTTTCATTTATCGCTCCAAAATGTCGCCAAACAAATTTCTCGCCAAAAAGGACTAATACTAAAGCTGTGCCGAAGCTGGATACTGGGCGTCCAGAGTTCAAATCTTTCAATGTAACAATGTAATTTCAAATAACACTTAAAGCAAGGTAGAACAGCAAAGTTTAAATGATTTTGATTTTTTTGGGTGTATTGAGTTATATTACTTATCTTGTTTCTTTTCTTTTTCCAGGCGGATTCAAGGAACTTGATATTCAACAGATGTTTCAGCCACATAACAGCAGAAGTCCTCCTCAAACTATATTTAAAAATGAACTTGCCATTGATTTAGCTTATAAAACTGCTAGACATTTTCACAGTGTGAGCAATTTTTCCCATGGTCTCCTCGGTGGCATGTCATTTTTACATGTTTTGCTGCTGTTCCATATTATGTCATCAGAATCATTAAAAGGTGACATTATCAAGAATTTTAGTTTTCTGTCACATCCAGTTCATAATGTTTTTAATTTCTTGTGTATTATTTGCATTATCTCAGCATTTGATAGGTAAGCTTGTTTATATTCCATATTTTATATTTTAATTTTGACCCTGTATTTTAGAGTAGGAAATATAATGATATTTATTTCTTAATAATTGGTCTACATTTTTTGTTACTAAACTTTTTTTTAAATTAAGTTTTTTTAAATATTTAGGTTCATAGAAATGCAACTAATGCATTTACGAGAGAGTGGGAAAAATTATTTATATTCGTTATTCTTTATATTTATTATACATTATTTGTTCTTTATAAGGTAAATGTTTTAAGTTAAATTGAATTTTTAGTTATTTAAAAAAAAATATATACATATTTAGACATCTCTTAAATATCACTACTATCACTTGTTTTATCATATTGAGTGTTTGAGAAATCAGTTAGTTCAGTGAACATTATTTATATTTTATTATGAAATTTTTTATTTATTCTTTATAAGGTGGATTAAATGTTTTGGGTAGAGTAGACTTTAAGGTACCCCTATATTATGGTGAAGTTGTTGTTTTATTTATCGCCAAGTTGTTGTTTCACTTATGGTAGCCTGAGTAGTTGGATGTTATGGAAACCCTATTGTGATGTAATCGGGTGCATGATTCTGGGAAATTTTGAATCATGGGATGTTTTGTAAGCGTTTTTGTGTTGTGTGTTGGTTTGATTCTTTAGACGGTAGAATGGCCGAATGTAGTAAGATTAATTTGGAGTTTCTGTACGATTTAGAGCGAAAGGGAAAAAGGGCTTTAATTGATTGGTGTGTAAATAAAGGTTTACGTAGCAGCCATTATAAGTGTAGGAAGGATATGCGTCTAGTCGAACGTAAAAACCATTTATATGCATTTGAATGGGTTTGTAGGAGGAAAGTTTCAGATGGTCACTATGTGAAGCGTTCGAGCAGAAAGAGTACCTGGTTTAAAAAAGTCATTTGAGTATGATTGCTATTTTGATTTTTACATGGCTCTGGGTGTACGAAGCGAACTTGAAAATCGTGGTAAGTGAATATTTGCTTTTGGTAGTGCTTAAATGTATAACATGTTTTTCCTTTTTTATGTCATTTTATTGTTTTGGTTTAAAGTGTATTTTATTGAGATTATATATTTTTTGTTTGCCTATATTGTAGAATTTGGTGCTGCTTTAACTTTTTAAGTGAAAATATATTGATGTGTAAATGGACAAAGTCAAGGGAGTGTGCAATGCAAGTTTGTGCAATACTAAGATTTTTTTTTAAGTGAAAATAGGTCAACATGTACATGGATAAAGTTAAAAGAGTGCGCAATGCCGTTTTTGTGCAATTCCGGGTTTTTTTAAAGTGAAAATAGGTTGACGTGTACATAGATAAAGTCAAAGGAGTGAGCAATGCCATTTTTGTGCAATTCGGGGATTTTTTTTTAAGTAGTGAAAATAAGTCGATGTGTACATGGATACCGAGTTTGTGCAATTGTTTGCCTTGTTATTTTGGCTTTGTCTATCGGCGATTTTTCGCCGCTTCGCAAGCCGAAATAACGAGTCAAAGACGAGCACAAAATCGGAGTAACGAGCACAAAATCGGTATCCATGTACCGCCAAAATCACCAAGGGGTACCCTAAACTATACTTTTACCAATGTTTTAAGTTAAATTTGAATTTTTAATCGTTTAAAAAATATATATATATTGTGGCGTGCGTACGGTTTCGTTATGAATTGAATACACAAGTCTGATGAAAAATTAACAAAATTTATTATTATCACAACAAATAAAACGAAATGCTTAAATTTCCTCAGATATTCATACAGTATTACAATCTCACAATAGTAACTTAATAGTTAACTACTCAAATGTTCAACAGAACCTAATTCAAAATAGTTAGAGAAAGCTAATCCACGAATTCGCTACAGTTAACAAGAGCAGTTTTCTAAACAAACTCTTAAAACAACTAACAACTGAATTGAGAGGTTTTTCCTCCTTTTTATAAGCTTTTTAAATCATGCGCAAGATTATTCTAGCAATTTCTCAAAAAAGAGATATTTATTTATTAAATATCAAATGCATGTGCTCTTGTATTTTTAATTTTCTGGCTTAGCTTTCTTTTAATATTTGGCACATGCTGCACTGTACGGGGAATAAAACAATTTTATTTGTAATTCTACTAACATTAACTATTTAAATACCAAATCTGTAACACTGCCCCCTTCTCAAGGACTGCATGTCTCGGGCAGTACAATCCCTGGACAGGAAGCCAAACTTAAATGCAATAATAAACATTACATTACAATAACAAGCAACATGAACAATAAATGTAATAACTAACTTATACTAAATACACATTTAGAAACAAAAAAAGGACCATGGTCTTACACTATTTACAATTATTTATCCTATGTACTATGGGCATAGTAATGAGCTAACCTGTGGCAATGAACGACTTTAGGTTTAGAGTTCGATGACTTACGGATCCGAACCACGACGTCATTCAGCCTGTTTAGGACTGTGTACGGGCCATCCCAAGGTGACTGCAATTTAGGCCCGAGTCTTTTTCGTCAAATCAGGTTCCACAACCACACCCTGTCTCCCTTGTTGAATGGATGTCCAGCAGCTCTCGTGTCGCATCGGATCTTCACCCTTTCTGTCGCCAAGTTGACTCGCTCTTGCATCACTTCAAACCGGGCTTGGAGATCTTGGATGTCTTCCTCAGGCGATGAAGGCATAACCAGAGGGTGACTAAACAAAGGATCACATGGAAGATGAGGGTCATGACTGATGAGCATGAGATGGAGAACAGCAGTTTCTTTTCAACCCTAGTATGATTTCGGCAGCTTTTCGAGCTTTCAGACAAGGTGTCAGCGTTTCCAGGTAAGGATCCCTTCTGAGGATGGACAGTCATGTCCTCAAATGCTGAAAGCAGTTTGTTGTGTTTTTGAAGTCTAAAGAAAAATTTTATTTCCTTAAAAAGTCCAATTTGAGTATGTACGGATCTGTAATATGCACCACGTATGCCGTGTAATGATAGGTGGCACTTCCAAACGTTATGTTTACGTTTAACTTCCCAGCTATGTTGATTTTATCACCAGATGCAGTCTGAAGAGTAACACAGAAAGCGTCCAAATAAGTTTATCTTTAAACTGTTGAGTTAAATCTTTCCGAATGAGGGTAACATTAGTTCCTGTGTCAATGATCATATTGCAAGGAACTCCATCGATATTCCCAATGATGGACAGTCCATTACTGTTGCCACTCACTGCAGAAATCTTAAGTGCTTTGGAACACGGTTTTTCATTATCTGGCAACCTCCATTCCTCGATATGGTCATTAATTTGTTTCCTGCGTCGTTGCTGGGAAATGATCTTATTTTCCATACCCTGGAGTGTTCTGCAATTCCATACCCTGGAGTGTTCTGCAATACATGTCCTTCAGCCCCACAGTTCCAGCACTTTGGTTTCATGTCACTCCTTTTCTGTTCCATGGCATACAATTGTTTGTTTAACCCGCTTCTCTTATTTTCCATGCTCTGGGGTGTTCTGCAGATCATTTGTATCTGGCCTTCAACACCTCAGTTTCAGCATTTTAGGGTTGGTTTCTTTTTACCAATATTCCATTTCAAAGCATTCACTGGTCTTCTCAAATCATCCGTTTTATTATCCATGCCCTGGAGTGTTCTGCAATGACGTCATATGTGGCCTTCAATACCACATTTCCAACACCTTAGAGCCACTTTATTCTCACTCCTACTCTGTATCAAAGCATTGACTTCTCTGGCTAAATCATCTAAATGAGCCATCAATTGATCCACCGGCCCATGGACTTGCACAGCTCTGACTGGGCAGCAATCTCTACAGGCTGCTTGCTGGGCTGCCTCATATTTCTGTGTTTCAGGATCCTGGATGCCGTCGATAAAGTATTGCAGGGACAGGATTTCCTTTGTTTCTGTAGGGCACTCCGAAAAGCGAGATGGGACAGCCTTTCAACATATTTGGCAAGCTCCTGGAGTATTTCAGTGGGCTTCTGTTAGCAGGATTTTAATTGAAGCCTACTGTAGTCTTTCAAACATTTCTCCCCAAAGCGCAACTCTAATGCGTCAGATAGAGCTTCGAAATCTAGCCTTTTGTGTCTGGGAAGAGTCTGAAGGATATCTGCTGTGTCTGCTCTCAAAGAAGTGGCGAGATAACAGGCCTTACCTTGGGAATCCTATCCACTTGCTTCCACCACTATAGAAAATTATGTCTTATATACTTCCCAGGAGGTCTTTCCATCATATGCGGATAGCTTCAGTGAGGGACAAGCAGGCATGGATAAAAATTTAAAGCCCTCAGAATTGCTTCTTTCCATCGCTAAAGTGTCAACTTCTTTGACAATAGCAAAAGCCCTTTCATCAATTTGTTGTTGGACGGCAGAAACTCTTTCTTCAGTTTGTTGCTCTACTGCAGAAACTCTCTCTCTATTTATTCTTTGACAGAAGAAACTCTTTCTTCAATTTCTCTAACCTTACTTTCAACCGATTCTATTCTACCTTCTATAGCCTCGAATTTGTTTTCTATTATGCAGGTAATTTCTCTTTTCATTTCCTCTTGACCTGCTTTCATCTCGTCTTTAACGGATTCTTGGCCCACTTTCATCTCTACTTCACTAGCATCCATCTTCTCTTTGACTGCTTTCATCTCTATTTTAAATGTAGCAAAAGCTGCTATCAGCTACCTCAACTGCTCCTCCATTGCACTTGTTGTTGGCACTTCTGAATCAATATCCCACTTTTGATGACATTCAATATCCCACTTCTGACACTAAAATCTGTTGCTTGCGTACGGGTTCGTTATGAATTGAATGCACAAGTCTGATGAATAATGAACAAAATTTATTATTATCATGACAATAAACAAAATGCTTAATTTCTTCAGATATTGACAGTATTACAAGATCTCACAGTAGTTAACTTTTAACTACTTAAAAGTTCAACAGAACTATTCAAAACAGTAGAGAAAGCTAATCTGCAAAATTTGCTGCAGGCACAAGAGCGTTTTCTAACAAACTTTTAAAACAACAACTAATAATTGAATTGAGAGTTTTCC